CACAATACTTAAATTCTGAAAAATATAGTAATATACATGTTCTCAATCGAGCGCAAATCATCAATGATGCGTTTCATTTTGCGATAGAGAAAAAACTTGAATTCTCCATATTTTGGGAACTCGTTTCTTATTTGGCACAGGAAACAGATTATATAGCATGGTATCCTATGTTGAAAGCATTTGAAATTATGTCGAATATCTTCCCATTCTTGGATTTTTATCCTGAATTTAAGGTATATATATGAAATATATAACACAAATATGTAATATAAGCACTTTTTAAAGTTAAATTTTTGAATTTTGTAACAAAAATAATTAAATATTAATGTATAATTAATTTTTTTTGTTTAACTCACTACATATATCTATTTTTAAAGGAATTATTATGATATGAAATCGTTGTTTTATAAAATAGATAATTGGTGTAATGGATAATTTTTTATAAAAGAATCTTATTATATATGTATATATATATATATATATATATATATATATATTTAATTATTTTTGATCCAAAATTCAGAAATTTAACTTTAAAAAGCGCTTATGTTACATATTTGTGTTATATATCTTTTCTTTACCTTTAATACAATTACATAAATTTTGAATATTTCAAGTTATTTTTCTTTAATAATAATACATTAGTATTTACGTGATAATTGATGATCAATTGTGTAATTAATTTTTAATATGTTTTAGGAAATTATAGAACACAGTATATGACACAATTATTTTTCTTATATTAATTTTCTTACGTAGCATTTGAATATTTACGATGTTAAAAATATACAATACATATACGATACATTTTGTAAAGAAATTGACTTATATAATTTTACAATAATTTTTTTTACATTATACAACACATAATAGTTTAATATACATATAATAATCCACTTGTAAATACTTGTTTAATAATAAAAGAAATTGATATTTAAAGTTTAAAATATTTACAATCTATATTTGATATGCCACATATTTAAATTAAGGAAACATATTAAAGTCGATTCATCAATCGATACATCACTATGCACAGACTTAAATATATATACAGAGTGTCTCGTAAATTTTGATCGCGCGTACCTCGACTCTTGTTTCTTCATGAGTATGCGACACTCGCCGCTGACACACCTACCGCGCATATCTTACAATCTAGCCTCGCGAAACGCGCGTTTATTCACATTTTTAATTAATATTTCAATAAATTATTGCGAAAATTGCAAAATGGTATGGACCTTTGTGTTGAGTTTTTTGCGTTTTATCCACTCACGTGCGTTAGCACAAACTTATGAAACACTTTGTATATGGATATATATATATGTGTTAAAAATTCATTAAATGATATAAAATCCATACCTATATAAATAATAAAATACATACACAATTATTCACACACAAATAAGAAATTCTAATAAATCTAGTTATTATAATATTGATGCTGTAAAGTCGCATAAATATTAAAGAAACATAAAACAAAATTATCTAGGAAAAATGTTTATTTGCGCGTACATTATATGTGTTCTTGTGAATAATGAATAAACTAAATATGAATAAACTTAAATATAATAATATTTATCAATTTTTAGGGCGTGCTAAAGTTTGATTTTATGCAGAATATTACATCTAAATACGAGAATTTAGATGACGAAAATAACGTCAACGATTATACTAAATGTTTGAAACAAGAACTTGCAAAGTGGGAATGTATTATAAATGAAAAGCCTTGCGAAGAAAAATCTAAGAGTCATTTGAAATGGCATCTAGCAAATCCTGAAGAAAACAAGTAATTCTTTTCATAATATTCAAAATATTCGATTCTTTTTATAAGAACATTTTTTATATTCTCCATATGATTAGGAAATTAATTATCACTTATATCAAAAAATTATTTATAAAACACTAAAGAAACTATTAACACAATTTCGTTACAAGATTTTTACTTCTTTTTTGGACTATCTTCTGTAGACTTTTGCCTGGCTGGAAGAGGTGGACATATTGTAATGGTTTGAAAACGGCAGATCATTATACATGGAATAAAGTTTTTACTAATTGCATGGAAGCAAATGATACAATGTTAGAATGTCTGGCTTACAGTAAAAATTTTGAAATTATAATCAATTATTTAGAAATAAAAATATCAGAAATTTTATTTAAACCTTCGTATAATGTATCTTATCTTCCATTTGAATCGATAGAGCGAACTTATGCCTTATCTGCTAATATTTTCCTTTCTGTTCTTGAGAGAAATACTAAGTACATGCTTACAAGTTTATTAAGTAATTACGAAACAATAAGACACAGGTGACGATATTATTTAATCAAGATATGCTACACATAGATGTGAAGATTTATTGTACAAATTAATTATGATATTGTATTAATATTCTTTATAGGAGGGTCAGTGATATTGTAACATTAATTGTTATAATTAACAATGTGTATGCTAAGGGACAGTTGGGCGAGGTAAATTTTAAATAAATCAAATTTTTATTTTATATAATATTTTTCTATAATTCTGTTCATAATGATACTCTGTGTTTTTCTGTGTGAGTGCAATTATTAAATCCGAAATCATTTATTGATAACAATTATTAAAATAATCCATTTCAGATAAGGAAATTTGTAAAAAGGAAACTGGAAAATTCAATCATTCCTAATGCTGAATACAAGCTAGAAACACGCTTGTCGGAGATCGAGAAACAGATAAAATATTTTCGGTCTTTATTCACATAATTGAATAACTAGATTTCTAAGATACTGAGTGTTTAGGCATTATAAATACAACATAAATGATTGTGATAATATTTATAAATGTATATACTTAATTATTCACTAATGTCATATAAAAGATAATAATTTAGTTTAATTATTTAATTAAATATTAATTGTATTTAACCAATATAATATTAATTATACAATATAATATTAAAAATATTGTATAAAAATATTGTATTATATAATATTTTATGAAAATATTATATTATATTACAATATAATTCATATTATAAATATTTTTAATATTGTATTATATTACATGTTATATTGTATTACTTTTCTGTATTACAAATTTAATACATAGATGTTGATTATATAATTACGTGTGTTTATTTGACACAGTTACATGAATATACAAAGTATTTTTGGTATCTTGCAATAAAGTAAAACCATGAGTAGATCTCATTAAACTAAACTAAAAAATCCTATATCATTTTGCAAGAAACCACATTGCTTTATTAGCAGCTTTATTACATAGTAGGATCAGATAAAAATATTTAAACTCTCGTGTGCATTCTTTTTTATCTCAGAATATATATTAAAGAATATAAAATTTTGAAACATCATTGAAATATAAAAAAGTAAAAAAATTTAATTTCTGTTTCTTTTCCTTGCTTTCGCCTTCCCTTTTTTACAAGTTTCCGTATTGTAATAAATTAATAATCACGAATATGTTCTTATGCGAATCGTTATCCGTAACAATGTATTATTGTGTATTATATTTGGAATAAGTTTTGCGATAATACAAAAACACATGCAAATTATTACGTTGAACACGTTAAATTATTTATTTATATTGCGCACTAATATATTAATCATATTATAATCGTTGCAAATCTTTTCTTAAATATATTTAAGTCGAACTTATTTAACTTGTAAAACATGCATAAAAATATGCTGATCAAAATGGAAACAATATTAAAGAATTAAAATCTCGAATTTGAAAAAATATGTAAGCTTATAAAGCTATCACGTATATAAACATGTTATTGAAGAAATGTCAATAGTGATCGATCTAAAAATGGTACCAAAAATATCTCTTCCTTGAAAAAAAATTACTTGAAAAAAAATACTTACACTTGTATTGCGCTTATATTGTAGTTACATTTTCCGCAATGCGGAAATCTCACGTACTCTCGAGACTATTCGACCGAATCATCAATACTCTAGTATCAATTTTCCATTTGCACTAATATCGACGATATACGCTGCTATCAGTATTTGAGTTCACGAAGTCAAATCTTCGCGGATAATCCTAATCGTCAAAACGATGCAACGTTTTATCTGTTAATCCCGCACTGGACGCCTACGATGATCGAATCAGATTGATGTCGTTTAAAATTTATATCTGGCCATGAAAAAGATTTTATATCGGATCGCGAGAAAGAGGGAGAAGCGAGTTAGAAGGAGTATACATTGTGTATGCGTTTAAAATAGGATTTTTAAACGCATTTTTAAAAGTCTCAATAAAAATTGAATCAGCTGATATAAAATCTGATTCTCTTATTTATTTATTTTAATTATAAAGATAATGGAAATATCAATAAGTTAAACAAAAATTAAATTTTACATTCATTTTAAAATCTTGAGATTCTTAATATATCGCATTCTTTCCTTACTTTATACTTTGATATTATTTTATCATATATTTAAATTACTGTAATATATTTTTTTATGTAATTCTTATAATTATTATATATTTAAGAAAATAAAGCGAGAATAATTTGCTTTAATTTAAGACATTGCGATTGAAAACAGGTGAATATCAAGATTGAAAATTCTTCTGGAATTTTCACAATTTTCAAACATAGACAGTTACACGGTTCAGTATTGTGCATTATTAAATTGGAAAATGCAATCAAGCTCTTTAGCGTATATTTGCTGTACAATGTATAACACTAAAAATCATAAAGCGGCTGGGTTTGCTGTAATTGTAATTTTTTTTATATGTATTTTTTTAATATATATATATATATATATATATATATATATATATTTCTCTTCTCTATTTGAAGATTATCTTATCTTCTTATCTTCTTGTGTAATTTGTATTATCAAATTTCTTCAAAGATATTACGCATTTTCTTTTGTATCTTGTATAATAATTATCGTACACACGTATACTTGGTATTAATGAGATTTTATATTCGAATTTAATTATTCTAATTAAATTATATGCTTATATACATTTTATTAAAAATAAACTATATAGTATATACAGAATGTCAATGCAATTTCCCGCCAAAAAAAATAAACATAAGTAGATCTCGATAAACTAACTAAAAAGTCATGTACCATTTTGAAAATAACTACTAAAATTTTGAGATATTAATTAAAGAAAATCGATCAATACATGCAAGTATAAGCGCGATTATAATTCTTTAATGAATTTTCTCTCGCAAATGGTTTTCTAGAAAAATTGTCTTTAAAAGTCTTTCAAATAAAACTTTATACGAAAACGGAATACAAAAACTAAAGGAGTATAGGGGAGACCGGGAACAAAAATAACAGCGTCATGAAAGTAACAAGTATCTTATTAAACTACACAATTATATATTGAATAATTTGTACTATATAGTCAAACGTGTAGGCCCCGATCCTATTTCTTTTCAGCTAATTGTTGTAGAACGGTCGCGCCGGTTGCACATGCAGGAGTGAAATTAGTGTATTTACATTATTCACCTAAGTATTTCTTGTTTTAGTTTTTTTGTATCCATGCCTAATTAAAGTATATATTGACGTAATTATTTGCCAGTGTATCTTTCTAAAATGTATTCATAAGTTTTATAGTTGATTTGGCTAATTTTAAGTCTGGCATCATATTTAGGTTATAATGCTTTTATTCTAAAAAATGTGTTTGGGGACAAAAGTAACACGTTACTCTGTGGACGAAAGTAACAAAGTATTTCAATGTTTAAAATATAAGGGCTGGTCCCATAATAACTGTATCAAAAAGAATTCTTATTACGCATGCCATAATTGCGATTCGAATATATATCAATCTCTTTTGTATAAGTAGTTATCATACAATTTTTACACTTATTTAGAATTAAACTATTATTTAAACTTGGAAAAGTACAAAACTGATGTGATATTAAGTGATTATAAGTATAATTATTTTATGATATTACTTATAATTATTTTGCTTAATGAAGATTATTTCTTTTGGTTTTTTAAAGATGATAAAAATAAATATTTATTTTATTTTTTATTTGAATATAATATAATACAAATTTATAATTAACGTTATCTTGCTTAATGAAAGATTATAATAAAATTGTTGTTTTAAATTGAAAAAAGGCGTATTTATTTTATTTTTCCGAAAATAAGAACTGTTACTTTCATCTCCAGATTATGTTACTTTCATCCCCGGCCCCCAGGACAAAAGTAACAATCAGCATAATTGCGAAATATTGTAATTAATTGATTTTTTAACATAATTTTTAATATAATTATTTATAGGTCTATCAAGTTTTTAATCTAAAATCTTTATTTTCCTTATTAAATTCTTTTATATTATTTAAAAATCCAAACCAGTTATAAAAATTCTTTATGTTCAAATCGTTTTTCAACCTTCGAAAAGGCAACGTCTATAATAATGTAGAAAAAAATATATACGTATTCCTATACATATACATGTGTGTGTGTGTGTTTGTGTGTGTGTGTGTGTGTGTGAGGGATAGAGGATGAGAGAGAGAAAAATTTTTCTTTTCTAATGAATTACATTGTTAATCAAAATTTGCCGCCTCTTATATTTTGATCCGTGTACATTGCGCACTTCGTACACGCAGGTAAGACGGCTCTACGTATAACCTTCTAAATACTCTTAGGTAAGCCAACAAAGCCATCAGTTTATGGCAGTCTCTTCTAGAGATAAGTTCGCGATCGAATGCTTTTCCTGTTAAATCTGGTATTAAATTTGACTGATTGACCTAATTGGAGCATTAAATATATAATAAAATATTTATCTTTCCTTCTTTAAATGTGCGTACAAAATTGTGTGAAGTAACAGGTAACGCTTTTATTTTATAAAAGACATTTTTCTTAATTTTCAAATCGATTTCATTTTATTGTAAATATTATTTTTATCTTTTGCATACATTACAGTTAATAGAAATGAAGACATATATGTTTGTACTGTAATAGCATGTTTCGATCTTTTTGACATATAAAAAATGTAAAATTTATAAGCTAAATTTCTTTTTGACATTATAAAATTATTGTGTAATCAATTTTATATTATTGCTATAAAATTATCTCAGCTATAAAATACTATCTTATTATCTAAACTATAAAATTATTCATCTTAAAAACGTATAATATTTTCTCTGTTTTGTTTTTAAAATATTTTTTATAATGAATATCTAGGTCCAGTAGGATATGTTAATGTAAATGTGTAATAAACGAATGAATAACTAATAATGAATAAGTAACATTTTATCCAAAAAGATGTGTTATAAAAATATTAACATAATTGTTTTCAGAATTTTGTTCGAATGTTTGATACAAGCCGCTCTATTATCAAAATTTCAAATATTTGATAATATTTGATTTCCGTTCTGTGTTTATATGTTGTTAATATATTTCTTACTTCATGAACAGATCAATCTTGAGAATAACATGTTAGTAAACATGCAGTCTACATCAGATATAAAATCGCGTTGTTCAGAATATACCTTCATTTCTCATACATTGTAATGCTTACATTATATATATATATATATATATATATATATATATATATATATACTGAATTATGTAATTGCACTAGAAAAAATCTTAAACATAGCTAAATTGAGATAAGTAAAAGTTACGTTTATTGTGCTTATCCTACTGGAATTATATAAATATATTCCTTATGTCTCCTAATATTCAAATCCGAGAAAAATATTTTATATGTCGTTTCAATAAGTTTTACATTTATCTTTTCTATTAATTTTTCTTTATTTATTAAACCATATTATTTTAATTTTTTTTTAATTAACCGTATCTTCTTATGAAACGTTAGTAAATTCTCTTTAACGTTTTTTTAACACAAAAGTTGATTGAATCGCATACTCTTTGTAAGCAAACCTTGTTTTTAAAGCAAGAACGTTTTTTATAGATATCCGGACGAAATTTAACATGACATTCTTAAAACTATTATTAAATAGTAGTATAATATACATAACCATAATAGCAATAGCGACTCCTATCGCTAATGAAGAATCAAAAATCAAAGGAGTAGAAACCGATGAAGAATCGAAAATCGCAATGCCCAGTGTATTAAACAACAAATCAAGCAATATATCAGATTATATGTTTCCAATACATTATAATATAAAGATAATGTTAGGCACTGATTATCTTCATAGCGTATGCATAATCACTTTAAATATTTCTTATGCAAAACGATACATAAGATTTTATGTACCGGATGCAACATTTATAGTGTTCTCAAATCTTACATTAAATCAAAATAATGATACGGTTTATGAAGCAAATCACACAAATATTATTAAAAACAATATTGTCGTGCTCGATTTCGGTGATGTCTCGTTTCATGGAATATACGATTTGTATATAGAGTACATAATCTCAATTAATATCGTAAGGGAATCTTTCGGAACTCCATACATAAACGAAAATGAAGAAATAGAGTAAGTAGAAGAATATATGAAATATCAAAAACAAATTGTACATTTGTGCATTCTACTCTTACAATTACCTAAAATTAGTCATTATCTAAAATATATCATTAAAATACGGTAGGTGGTTAATCGCAACAGGAGTCCAGCGAAGAAACAGGTATCAAACTAAAAAACAGCAAATGTTACCATATTGGGACAAGCCAAAATTAAGAATTACTTTTATTATTTCCATAATACATCATCCAAAATACAAAGTTTGGTCAAATATGCCGATACGAGATATTGAATTGACGGACGATAATATGACATGGACATTTTTTAACGCTACTCCTTTAATCTCCATAGATAGAGTAGCATTTCTGGTATCCAGTTTTCGTCACATCATCTTCTCGAATAATGAAACAATTCGTTCGTCCATATCGTACAGACCACAATCGGAACCGTATTTAAAATTTGCGAAAACTTTTATTTCTTCCATCAATGTATACATGCATACATGGAATATTCGGAACAAAAAACTTGCGCCGCTAACCTCTGTTTCATTTGAGAACAAAATAGATCATGTCGTAATTCCGGATTTACAAAATGAAATTGAACAGACTTTTGGTTTCATTTTTTATCGGTAATATATATAATTAAAAATATAAATATATTTTAAAAACTGTTTTAATTACATATGATATTGTAATCTATTTACATAAGAAATTATATTAATATCCATAATTTTTCATACATATTAGTATAATTATTTGTAGAGAAGCAGATATCACTTATAATGAAGAATTAGATCCTGTCGCATACAAAACGATAATTGCACGCTTAATTGCACGTGGGATGATACAAAAATACATTAGAAATTTGTTCAGACCTACTTACTTATGGCCTAATACATGGTTAAACGATGGATTTAATATATTTTATTCAGTACTCATTATCGACAAGGTTATTTTATTACTAATTTTATTACTATTTGAATACGCAGTCAAATGATTAACAGTTTAGCAATACAAATAATTGTTAAATATTTGTGCAAATATTCTGTTTTATTTTTTAATTATTAGAAATGATAAAAACCCAAATCTCTAAAATTTCAAAAATCCAATGAAAGAAATTTAAATAAGTACTAAGTATATATATGTTTTTGTATTATAATTATCGCAGAAAAATTTACACACAAACACACATACAAATTTTATTCTTAACAATAGCATATAATAAGCTAATTTTGATATGCTTCAAAAACTTTTTCTTTTTGATTATTTATGATAAATTATGATTATATCGAATTGATTTTAGGCTCTGCCAAATTCCCGAATGATAGATCTGTTTGTAGTTCAAATTCAACATGAATTACTCTAAATACATATGTTATTATAAATTCTACTATAGAATATAATAGTTATCCTGAAAATTATTTACAGTCTTTTCTTTCTCAAATTAAAGGTATGCGTATAACATTGCATAATTAAACAATTAAATAATTATAAATTTTCGAATGTTAATTTCATAGTAAATGAGAAAAGTCATTTATAAACAAAAGACTCTGTACGATTCTTATGGAAAATGAATTTTGAAGTTTGGTGAAATTTGCACAAACTCTGGAAATAAATAATTTGTGGCCAATCAAAAGTCACATTAACCGCGATATCGGTTGATAGAGCCATTTCGTCGCTACAAGCGTTCAAATGTCGAAATAAGGCGTTACTTCATTACTACTGAAAAAATATAAATAATATATTATTGAGTAGAAACACACACAGTTGATTACTTTTATTAATATATAGATATGATATTTACGTGGAAAATATGTACATAAATGTATATATTGGTGTCTATAAATTTCCTATCTATTATATTTCAGAAACGGTTCAAAAATTACGAAAAATCATGAAACAGGTGTTTAATTATTTTGAGAGGCTGGTCTTTTAAAGCAATTAGGGAAGTTGTATCCTTCTCCATCCGAAGGAGGAGACTTAGGGAAAACTTGTATAATAATAATTATACTTTTGACTAATTTTATCAAATATCAAATAGCATGTTATGACGACGATAGCATCGATGCTGCTACACGCACATTTTTTCCATACAAATATATTAGTAAAATGTCTTAATAAAAATGATCAACTGTGTGTCACATTTTAATATATAATTTACTTTATTTGATATATTATTTACTTTTCCTTAATAATATTGAAATAACGTCTTATTCGATATTTCGATATTTGAATTTTGAATACTTGTACTGAAACGACTTTATTAATCTTATGACATTTATTTTGACATTTTTTAAATTTTTATTGTGTTTTCACGTAAACTATTTATTTCCAAAATTCAGCAAATTCAATCAGAATTCAAATTTCTTCGAAATTCAATTTCCATAGGAAGAACCATGCCCTTCATTTGTAAAATTTAATATATTTTTTATAGTATTTGCAATAACGTAATTATATGTAACTTTAAAATTAAATTTTTATATAATTTTTGGATAATTTTATAATATGTAATTTTTTTAAAATTATAACTATACATGTTTGTCTAAGATTTCAAAAAATTATAATAAAATATAAAATTAACTGATTCCTTATAAATGTATAATTTATTATTTTTAATAAATTTTTAATCATTCATTATTTCTTTATTATTACAAATTTTTTCGTTAAAATGTATTTAACATTTTTTCATAGCTGCTTACTTTGATTTAATTGCACAATTTTTGTGTGTGATATTTAATTTTATTAGTTACATATATATTCACTAACTTTTATTGCCCATATTAGTAAAGGGATTTTAAATGTATTAAATTTTTTTTCTTTTAAACATTATAGGATCTATTATATGGCGCATGTTAGAACGAACATTCTCTCTTATATATTTAAAGGGATTCATCAAATATTGGAATAATCAGTAGGCATAATATATGTAATAATATATAGTAATGTAATAATATATAGTACCGACAAAAATATATCATATTCATGTTTTTTGAGAATAATTTAATTCCAACTAAATAACTTAATTCAAAGTGTATATATTTTTATCTAGTCACATGTTTTAATAGTAGATATATAGATTACTGAACAATGGACTTTTCATTCAATAATGGACACGGCAACTTAAGAAATATTAATTAAATATATATACTTTTAATTAAATTATCTTCAAAAAAGGTGATATATTTTTGACCGGTATTGTACATCAGAGAAGGAAAATAATCAAAATAAATTTAATAATATATTTCCAGTTAATGTTTGAAAATTTAATGTTTGAAAGATATATATATTTACAAGCTTAAATTTATACTGCTATTTTATATTTATACTTTTTTGTCACGATTAAATTTCATTTTTTTAAATAAATATATAATAGATATTCATATTTTCTAAATAACAAATAATTCAAATTGAATGATTTTGAGAATCTAGTTTTACAAACATAAACAATTTATAAACACTCCAAAATCTTTGTAATGTAAAAATTAATTTATTATTTATTCAGTCACGACAAATGTCTACTAACATAGTTATTAATGAATATATATATTAATATATATTAAATAAAAATATATACATAATAATAAATAAAATATTTTTATTGAAAATACATACTAAAAGATATATTACATATATACGTTTTCATTATTTTTGTATGTGTTATAAAAATAATATATATATATATTTATATGTATATATATATATATATATTTATATGTATGTATATATATATATATATATATATTTATATGTATATATATATATATATATATATATATATACAGGGTGAGGCATCTAAAACAGGCCACCTGAATAACTCCGTTGGTAAGCCGAATACAAAAAAATTGTTCAGACAAAAGTTGTATGGTTTCAAGGGGGACATATGATGATGTCATTAGTTTAATCTTGAAGAGCCACCCGAAGGTCACGTGAAGGTCAGCTCCAACTTTTTAAATGGGACACTTTATATGCTTTTGCATATTCTTGTAGCTCATCTCAAGAGCTTTCCAAAACACTACAATTATGTTAGTTTTCATTAAATACTTTCCAAGTTATGAGGCTTGAAATCATTTTTTAATTTTACATAAACCGTAAAATATCTTGTAAAATATTCATTTTTCGATTATTTTACCTTAATACTTTTATGTACAAAATAATGAGAAGAATCAATTGGTGTAAAGAAAACACATAATTGCTTCGAACAAAAAAATGTAATTGTTAATTGCAAATTACATTTTTTTGTTCGAAGCAATTATGTGTTTTCTTTACACCAATTGATTCTTCTCATTATTTTGTACATAAAAGTATTAAGGTAAAATAATCGAAAAATGAATATTTTACAAGATATTTTACGGTTTATGTAAAATTAAAGAATGATTTCAAGCCTCATAACTTAGAAAGTATTTAATGAAAACTAACTTAATTATAGTGTTTTGGAAAGCTCTTCAGATGAGCTACAAGAATATGCGAAAGCATATAGGGTGTCCCATTTAAAAAGTTGGAGCTGACCTTCACGTGACCTTCAGGTGGCTCTTCAAGATTAAACTAATGACACCATCATATGTCCCCCTTGAAACCATACAACTTTTGTCTGAACAATTTTTTTATATTCGGCTTACCAACGGAGTTATTCAGGTGGCCTGTTTTAGATGCCTCACCCTGTATATATATATATATATATATATATATATATATATATATATATATATATACATACAGGGTGAGGCATCTAAAACAGGCCACCTGAATAACTCCGTTGGTAAGCCGAATATAAAAAAATAATCGAAAAATGAATAGGTGTGTAGATTAAAATGGCCTACCATATATATATATATATATATATATATATATATATATATATATATACATGGTAGGCCATTTTAATCTACACACTGAAATATCTCAAAATCCATAAGTTTAAGACAAAAATGTTTCAGACAATAGTTATATGGCTTGAAGGAGGACATGTCAGTGACAAGTTAGTACAAAATTATCATAATGTTAAACTTATAGATTAGATGATCCTAGAGCAACAACTTCTGGTGATTTATGGAATGCTATGAGATCTGTCATGATTGAATTGAATTCCACGTATGATTTTAATATAGAAGTCATGATAGATTCATGGATTATGCAGGAATGTTTTTTTGAGTTGGAAGTGTTGCGAAAAGATTCTGCTGTATACGTATCAGCACAATTTCGCAACAAATTAGATGAGAAATTTTATCATATTCCTGTTACTTATACTACAGAGTCGAAACTTGATTTTACCATAATTTGGACGAATTCTTTTTGGTTAACACCATTGCAGTCATATCGACTTATCAATCTGAAGGAAAATGAATGGATTATTTTCAATTTACAACAAGCTGGTAAATATTGAATAAAAAATTTATATCTTTATTATTCATTTATACAGGGTGTTTCATAAGTGGTGGGCAAAATTTCAGGAATGGATTCATTGTGCTTAGAGAAGAAAAAAAAGTTAATTAATATAAGTCCGGAAATGATTAGTTTTTGAGTTATTAAGATTTTGGACAATTAGGGGAAATGTTCAATATGTCTCCCTCCTGTCACAATACAAGCCTCAGCTCGTCTCATTGAGTACCGAAGCGAACACAATGTTTCAACGCTTTTGACACGTTCGACAGAGTGTTCGTGTATACATGAAAAAAGTATGGAATTGTAGACAAGAATAAGAATAATACATTGAGCTAACGTAAACATAGGCCGCCGAATTTGAAAAACATTGTTGATGCCTGTAAAAAAACTTCTAAGACGAGAAATGAGATAAAATTTTGTATACAAAAATCCTAATAACTCAAAAACTAATCATTTCCGGACTATGGTGATTAAGTTTTTTTTTTCTCTAAGCATGAAGAATCCATTCCTGAAATTTTGCCCACTAGTTATGAAACAATCTGTATATATACATATACCTATATATATATATATATATATATATATATATACATATATATAAAATATAAAGATATTACAAGAATAATGAAATTTTACCAATATATTTAAAATTTTGACTTCTTGCTGTAATATATAGAATCGCTGACACAGCCTTTGTGTTAAATAATAAAAACGGAAGATGTAAACATCTCTAATTATATATTTAATTTATTTATTATAATCGAAACATCTTTAACATCTTGAAAAAATATGTTTATCTAATTAATATATATATATAATTTGAAAATATTTAATAATCGACGAAAGTAATTTATTTTATAACAGGATATTATCGCGTCAATTACGATACTACGAATTGGCAAAAAATTGCACGATACTTAAATTCTGAAAAATATAGTAATATACATGTTCTCAATCGCGCACAAATCATCAATGATGCGTTTCATTTTGCGATAGAGAAGAAACTTGAATTCTCCGTATTTTGGAATCTCACTTCTTATTGGCACAGGAAAAAGATTATATAGCATGGTATCCTATGTTGAAAGCATTTGAAATTATGTCGAATATCTTTCCATTGTTGGATTTTTATCCTGAATTTAAGGTATATATATATATATATATATATATATATATATATATATAGATATATTGTAATAACATTTTTTTATAAAAAAAATTATCCATTACACCAATTATCTATTTTATAATACAATGATTTCATATGATAATAATGAATTCTTTTAAAAATAGATATATGTAGTGAGTTAAACAAAAAAATTAATTATACATTATTATTTAATTATTTTTGTTCCAAAATTCCAAAATTTAAATTTAAAATGCGCTTACGTTACATATTTATGTTATATATTTTTTCTTTATATTTAATACAATCACAAAAATTTTGAATATTTCATTAAGTTACTTTTCTTTAATAATAATACATTAATATTTACGTGATAATTGATGATCAATTGTGTAATTAATATTTAATGGATTTTAGGAAATTATAGAACACAGTATATAACATAATTATTTTTCTTATATTAATTTTCTTACGTAATATTCGAATGTTTATGATGTTAAAAATATACAATACATATACAACACATTTTGTAGAGAGAGAAATTGACTTATATAATTTTACAATAATTTTTTTACATTATACAACACATAATAATTTAATATACATATAATAATCCACTTATAAATACTTGTTTAATAATAAAAGAAATTGATGTTTAAAATATTTACAATCTATATTTATGCCACAGATTTAAATTAAGAAAATATATTAAAGTCGATTCATCAATCGATACATCAATATGCACAGATTTAAATATATATACAGAGTGTCTCGTAAATTCTGATCGCGCGTACCTCAATTCTTGTTTATTTATGGTTATGCGAAACATATCGCCGCTGACACACTTATCGCGCATATCTTACGATCTAGCCTCGCGAAACGCGCGTTTATTCACATTTTTAATAAATATTTCAATAAATTATTGCGAAAATTGCAAAATGGTAAAGGACTTTTGTGTTGAGTTTTTTGCGTTTTATCCACTCACGAGCGTTAGCATAACCTTATGAAACACTTTGTATATCGATATATGTATATATGTTAAGAATTTATTAGATGATATAAAATCCATATCTATATAGATGATGAAATACATACACAATTATTTACACACAAATAAGAAATTCTAATAAATCTGGTTACTATGGTATTGATGCTATAAAGTCACATAAATATTAAAGCCACATAAAACAAAATTATCCAGGAAAAATGTTTATTTGCGCGTACATTATATGTGTACTTGTAAATAATGAATAAACTAAATATAATAATATTTATCAAATTTTAGGGCGTGCTAAGGTTTGATTTTATGCAGAATATTACATCTAAATACGGGAATTTATATGACGAAAGTAACATCAACGATCATACTAAATGTTTAAAACAAGAACTTGCAAAATGGGAATGTATTATAAATGAAAAGCCTTGCGAAGAAAAATCTAAGAATCATTTGAAATGGCATCTAGCAAATCCTGAAGAAAATAAGTAATTCTTTTCATAATATTCAAAATATTCGATTCTTTTTATAAAAACATTTTTTTTTATTCTGCATATGATTGGGAAATTAGTTATCACTTATATCAAAAAATTATTTATAAAACACTAAAGAAACTATTAACACAATTTCGTTACAAGCTTTTTACTTCTTTTTGCACTATCTTTTGCAGACTTTTGCCTGGCTGGAAGAGGTGGACATATTGTAATGGTTTGAAAACGGCAGATCGCGGTATATGGAATAAAGTTTTTACTAATTACATGAAAGGAAATAATAAAACATTATTAGAATGTTTGGCTTACAGTAAAGATTCTGAAATTTTAATCAATTATTTAGAAATTATCACAAATACTGTAATAATTTCAAAAATTTCAAAATCTTTGTATAATCAATCTCATCTTCAATTTGAACCGATAGAGCGAGCTTATGCCCTAAATGCTAATATTTTTCTTTTTATTCTTGAGAGGAATATCAAGTACATGCTTACAAGTTTATTAAATAATTACAAATTGATAAGACACGGGTAACAATATTATTTTTTAATAAAAATATACCACATAGACATAAAGATTTATTGAATAAATTATAAATGTATTGTTCTATTTTTTATAGAAAAGTCAAGGACATTGTAACATTAATTGTTGTAATTAATAATGCGTATTCTAAGAGACAGTTGGATGAGGTAAATTTTAAATAAATTTTAAATAAATCAAATTTCTATATTAAAAAAAATTTTTTTTTTTTTAATTTACTTTTCGTTATAATTGTTATATATTTTATATAATATTTTCGGTAAATGTTTACTTTACGTCACACAGCTCAAAAAATTTTTATTTTCAGATATGTTGTAAAGAACACATTCTTGAGTAATACACCGTTTGAATTTTGTGGCTCTCTTCGTTTCTGAGATATGCAATTTTAAAGTTTCATACTTACTTGTATTATCTTTTCATTCTTTTCTAAATATGTTATTATTTTTGTGTTTACATTTCCCTAAGTCATTTTTTTGAATAACTTTTAGAAGATTTTAGCCGCTTATTGTTATTTATTAAATAGTTATTAACAAAAAAAGTTTCAAGAATAGAATATAATATATTAGAATATAATATATTAGAATAAAATATATTTTGCGATTTTGTATGTTTAAGAAGAAATATAAGCAAACGCACGCACACACACACACACACACACACACAGGGGGTCCTCCCGCCGATAGGGGACGCATTGCGAAGAGTTCAATCACAATGAATATATTGAAAAAATGTAGTCGACCAAACTAGCCAGAAATTTAGTTTATTATTACGACGTTTCGACCATATGGTTGTGGTCCTTATCAAGTATATACTGCAAAGATTATAAATTGATAAATTAATTGACAGTTTCAATATATAACACGCTCAACGAATTAAAATGTAACAATGTTAGTATACCGAAGCCATAAATCAAGAGACCGGCATAGACGATGATCTTATAAATTGCACAAATCACATTAAAAAAAACGTTATTTATTAAAAGATTTAAATTAGAGAGAAATTGATGTGTCCGTTAGAGACATCGTCAAGAGACTAAAAACAAACGCTATGGGAACGGAACTATGTGACCTTTATTATTTTATCGTAAATATTATTTAAATTATCTGTGTCTTTTTGTAGGTTGATTAAATTATTATTAAATTTTTTGATCAGATGAACAGATGAACAGATCTTCGGCAGTCCTATGGGTTCTCCATTGTCACCTATCCTGGCTGATATGGTGATGGACGACTTGGAGACACATTGCTTAGACTCATTAAGTTTTACTGTACCTACGTATTATAGATTTGTAGACGACGTTTTTGCAATAGTACCACGTGAAAGAATTAACGAAATTATAAGAAGCTTTAATAACTATCACGAACGCTTGAAATTTACATATGAAATTGAAGCTGATTCATCGATTAGTTTTTTGAATGTCAAAGTTATTCGGTCCGGGAATACTCTGATTACTAACTGGTTTAGGAAACCGACATGGTCAGGGAGGTACATTAACTATCATTCTAACCATCCGTTAAAATATAAAATCATCACTATATATAATTTAGTTGACCATGCTATTCTATTATCTAACGACTGCTTCTGGCAAGAAAATATCAAATTAGTATTTGACACTTTAATCAGTAATTGTTTTCCTGAACATATAATACACAGACACATTCAAAAAAGAGTTAATTTTTTAAATAATCGTGCTCTTAATGATACAGTTAACGTGAATCTTGCTGGTTCTGACAAGACTCAATTTATTTCAATACCATATGTGGAGAATTCGAGTCATGATTTGTATCGCCTTCTGAAAAATAGCGGTTTTAACGTCGTCTACAAAATAACTAAAAAACTAAATAATTTAATTAGACTTGGTAAAGATAATTTACAGAATAACGATAAGACAGGTGTTGTATATAAATTAAATTGTAAAGATTGCAATTTGTCATACATCGGGCAAACAAAAAGACATTTACGTACGCGATTAAAAGAACATTGCAACAATATAAAGTTACATGAATCTAATCATTCGGTTATTAGCAAACATAGATCAGAATCTAGACATGATTTTGACTGGTCGAAACCTAATATTCTGCATAACGAAAAATATGTTCGAAAGAGAGAAATTGCTGAGATGTTTTTCATCAAAAAATTTAATAATAATTTAATTAACCTACAGAAAGACACAGATAATTTAAATAATATTTACGATAAAATAATAAAGGTCACATAGTTCCGTTCCCATAGCGTTTGTTTTTAGTCTCTTGACGATGTCTCTCACGGACACATCAATTTCTCTCTAATTTAAATCTTTTAATAAATAACGTTTTTTTTAATGTGATTTGTGCAATTTATAAGATCATCGTCTATGCCAGTCTCTTGATTTATGGCTTCGGTATACTAACATTGTTACATTTTAATTCGTTGAGCGTGTTATATATTGAAACTGTCAATTAATTTATCAATTTATAATCTTTGCAGTATATACTTGATAAGGACCACAACCATATGGTCGAAACGTCGTAATAATAAACTAAATTTCTGGCTAGTTTGGTCAACTATATTTTTTCAATAATCCTTTGATTATTCGACTAGCGATACTAAGATATTTATTAATAACAATGAATATATGCTGTAAGTTATAAAGCGAGGTTCACCTTAACTACCGGCGGGATAGTTGCGGAAGGGGAGCCGAAGACCCCCCTTGCACCCCCGCACGCACGCGCGCGCATGTGTGTGTGTGTGTATGTGTGCACATACATTTGTGATATTTTTCAAATGTATTAAATTGTATTAAATTCTTAGCGACATGGAAGTCACAACGAGTAAACGTAAATCAAAAAATATAAACACACAACGAAAATATGACATCAAACTGTATTGAGAAATGTAAACAAAAAATGTGAACACATAAATAGGATATTACGAAAAAATGACATGAAAGTATGAAACTTCAAAATTGCATATCTCAGGAACGAAGAGAGAGCGCCACAAAATTCAAACGGTGTATTACTTAGGAATATATCCTCTACGACATGTGTGAAAATAAAAATTTTTCGAGCTATGTGACGTAAAGTAAACATTTACCACATTTTCTTATAATTCTGTTCATAATGATACTCTCATGTGTGACAGTATAATTATTAAATAGAAAATTATTTATTGATAATAATTATTAAAATAATCTATTTTAGATAAAGATATTTGTAACAAAGGAGCTGGAAAATTCAATCATTTCAATTACCGATGTTGAAAAGAAGATAGAAACACGCTTGTCGGAGATCGAAAAACAGATAAATTATTTTCGATCTTTATTCAACAATTGAATAACTAAATCTTGAAGACATTAACTGTTCAGAAATTAAAGATACAGAATGAATGATTGTAATAATATTTATAAATGTGTATACTTAATTATTCACTATGTCATATAAAAATTAATAATTGTTTGTACACTATAATTTTATAAATATTGTATTGTATAAAAATATTATGTTATATTACAATATAATTCATATTATAAATTATATATATTATGTATATTTTAATATTATATTATATTACATATTATATTGTATTACTTTTCTGTGTTACAAATTTTATACATAGATATTGTTTATATATTTACGTTTATATATATACGTGTGTTTATATTACACAGATACATACATATACATGGTATTTCCATTATCTCGCAACAAATTAAAACCATAAATAGATCTCGCTAAACTGAACTAAAAAATTCTATATTATTTTGCAAGAAACCACATAAAATTTCGAGATATGAATTACAAAATATTTAGTTACAGTGGGACCTTTTTCGCGGCGCGCTTTTAGTCACGTGCATTGGCCGATCTTTTTTTAAATAATACGAAATTTTACGTGGTTCCTTGCAAAATAATATAGGATTTTTTAGTTCAGTTTAACGATATCTACTTATGGTTTTATTTTGTTGAAAGATACTGAAAACTCTGTATATATTTGAATCGTATATTACAATATTAATTATAACTCGACTTTAAATGATGCTTTTTTGTAAATAGAAAAAATTTCGCAGAAAATATGAAAATTTTTTAAAGTATTATTTTATTATTACAAAAGTTTTTTAAAGTATTGTTTTATTAGCAGCTTTATTGCATAGTAAAATCAGATAAATACATTTAAACTCTCGTGTGCATTCTTTTTTATCTCTGAATATATTAAAATATTGAAATGTAAAATAGGAAAAAAAATTTAATTTCTCTTTCTCCACCCTTGCTTTCGCTTTCCCTTTTTAACTGGTTTCCATATTATAAAAATAATCACTAATATGTCTCCATCCGAATCGTAATGACAATTGTATTATTGTGCTTGTGTATTATATTCGAATTAAATTTTGTTGTAATTGTATTTTTTTATGCAGGGAGATTCTGAACATACATTTGTTTTTAAAATATCAAATTCTTGAATGAATTCTAAGATGATTTTTCCTCATGCAAAATTTTGCCCAGACTTTAGTTTTTAAATTATAAAGGAAACTATGTAATTATTTTGGGAACGAGTACGAGAGGTAGGCAGAGATGATGCGATATAAGCGATTATGTGGGGCGCTCGCCGCGATCAGCTGATCGCTATACGCGATGAGTATAGCAATCAGTGTGCGTGTGTGTGTGTGTGAGAGAATGTGCGCGCGCGCACATTCTCACACACACACACACACACACACACACACACACATTGATTGCTACACTCATCGCGTGTAGCAATCAGCTGATCGCGGCAAGCGCCCGCGAATGAAAATTAACGCACTATTTTGTATAACAATGTTTTCAATTAAAATATTTCTATTTAATTTGTATAAGTTTTCTTCCTTGTACTTCTATTTATCTTGTACAAATTTTTATTCTTAGTTGGCGCAATTTTTTTATATCACTATTTTTGTAGACAATATGACAGTTGGATACAATTAGTGCATGAACTTGGCGCCCTTTTTTTACCTTTTTTTTAAAAAGGTAAGTTTTTGGGGATTATATCACTTCTTTTTTTAGTCTAATTTGCTAAGAGATATTATATTAAAAATGGTATGTATATATATATGTATGTATATTCTTTTAATATATAAGCAAATTATATAAAAATATATATAGAATAAGTATATATAATATACATTATATATGTATATATATACAGGGTCTACCAAAAGTGTGGAAACCCCTAAATATCTCAGAAAATATACGTTTTACAGAAAAGTGTTTCCAACAAAAGTTGTAGGGTTTAAGAAGATCTATATACTGATTCTATCAGTTTGACCTTGGATGGCGTCGTCAAGGTCAGGTCAAGGTCACATTGACTTTTTTAAATGACACCCCCTACATTTGATTGCATATTCTTATAGCTTAATTCAAGAGCTTTCCAAAACACTATAATAATGTTCATTTTTATTAAGTACTTTGCGAGTTATGAGGGTTGAAATAATTTCTTAATTTTACATAAACTATAAAATATCTAGTAAACCATTCATTTTTCGATTATCTTACCTTCATACTTTTATGTACAAAATAATGAAAGGAATCAATTGGTGTAAAGAAAACATACAGTTGTTTTTAAGAAAAAATATGGAATTGTTAATTGCAAATTACATATTTTTTCTTAGAAACAACTATGTGTTTTCTTTACACCAATTGATTCCTCTCATTAATTTGTACATAAAAGTATGAAGGTAAGATAATCGAAAAATGAATGGTTTACTAGATATTTTATGGTTTATGTAAAATTAAGAAATTATTTCAACCCTCATAACTCGCAAAGTACTTAATAAAAATGAACATTATTATAGTGTTTTGGAAAGCTCTTGAATTAAGCTATAAGAATATGCAATCAAATGTAGGGGGTGTCATTTAAAAAAGTCAATGTGACCTTGACCTGACCTTGACGACGCCATCCAAGGTCAAACTGATAGAATCAGTATATAGATCTTCTTAAACCCTACAACTTTTGTTGGAAACACTTTTCTGTAAAACGTATATTTTCCGAGATATTTAGGGGTTTCCACACTTTTGGTAGACCCTGTATATATATATATATATATATATATTTATTTATTTATTTACCTTGCTCTAATTATCATACCGTACTAGCTCTTGCCAATTTTTAATTAATAATTTAATTATTTATTATTTATAACTTGCACTTTATCACTACTCAAAATGCGGTTAATGATACATGTCACTAATGACACATATGACACATGTCATTAATATCGAAAAACGTCGCTAGCGCAATCTTCTGTCGAGAGTAGGAAAAGGACATTTTCTCTTTCTATGTGTTGTGTACATGTGCGTTGATGACCATGATGATGATAAAGACGTTTCTTAATTGAAAATTTTTATATTTCTATTTTGCATTATGATATCTCCGTTAATAGATCACGCAACGCAAAAGTAAAGATACTTTCTTTATACAATTCAAACTCGTTCTATCGATTAAGGCTAGTAAGAATTCGATCCGTTCAGCCGTTATTGAAATCCAATAATCTAAGTTACTCTCAATTGTCCGACTCGCGTATAGATACATGGAGTGCCGCGCAATGCTTCGCATGAACTTGGCGCGAGACACTACCGTGTCTCTTGATAAATAATTATTCGGTTGATTAATCAATTGAAATGATGACAAAAAACAAAAGTGATAAATAAAACAAAATTTTTATAATAAAAGCATTCTCTTATTTGTAGAAAGGTAAATTGTATTACATCAAATAACATTAATTTATAATATATATTAATATCAATATTAATAATTAAAATTAATATTCTTGTAAATTAAAAAACAAAGTTGCAAACGTTATTAATTTTTTATTTGATATCTCTTCCAAAGCAATTTTAAATTAATGCAATGTAAAAATTAAATTTTTGTACTCAATATGCAAAAATTTTTTTCTTTCTAATATTAAATTGTGAAGAAATTAAAAGTAATTTTTTAGAAGAAAATAACTTTAGATTTTTAAATAAGAATATTAAAAAATCAAAATTTTTATTAAAATATTTACTTATTAAAATCTTTCATTAAAAAAAAGCTTACCGAGAGTGTATAATCGATCTGTAATTAATTAAAATGTATTTGTTAATCAATTCATAGTTAACGTTGCTCCATAATATTTAACAAAATTTTATATCAATAAACTATAACTATAACAATATTTACTCATTGCATATTAAGTTCATGGTAGATATATTTCAGATAGTTTTGACAAATCACGAATGACAAATTTGTCCTATAGCCTTAGATTTCGGCTTTTACAATGTTCGATGGAAAGCCATAAGATAATTGCTATCTCCAATGTAGGGAAGTAGCGCAAGAAATTTCATGATCTCGTCTATATTCTCAATAAACAGAATAAAAAATAAAGTGCCATAGTAAGTGAATTATCGATCAGTATAAATTCTCTGCTCCCTTATAATAAAACATAAAATCCTAAACATTATCTGTTCGAAGATATCTTGCTTTATCTACTTTATGAGAATATTTAAGTTTCGTAGTATCTCACACAATGATTAAAGACTAAAAAAAAAATGTCATCGTTCATCGCAGGACAACGCATGACAGCGCATTATATATTAATAATTATCAAACAGAAGAATGGCAAATTCTTTTAAACTTCTAAATGATATAGAAGGAAAAAATAAATTTCTACTTACAAAGAAAAAAAAAAGAATAATTAAGGAAGAGATATACATGCAAAAAATGAGACAGAGATAATAATCGAAATCGTAATTCTCGTATGCTATATTTGCCAAGTTAGTTTCGATTCAGCACGAACAGAAGACATGTCAGGAGTAAATTTTCAAAACGTGAATTTTCTAAATAATGGAGCAAACATCATCTCGGGAAATTTATTACCGATGACAGATGATAATTCATTTTCGATATTTTGTCGTATATATAGAGCCTTCGTCTGGTCAATAGAAGTGATTCATGCGATCTCATTAATCATCGGAATGACCGTAGTTCCAAAAGAAAAGGCTTTGAAAGATGGTATTATCTCCATCGTTGTCATAATGGAAGCATCTTTCTTACTTGCGGGTATTTACACGCGGCAAAAGTTAACAATACAAGTGGTCCGGAAAATGAACGAAATCCTGCGAAATGCGGACATGATCATGGTGGACCTCGTGAAAACAGCATTGAAACCAATTATTTTGCCATTTATAATTTATGGGGTGGCCAGTGTGATATCTGTCACTATATGGACTATACATCCGATTATATTGATTTTTGAAAAGAGAGATACATTTTATTTCGAGGATTACAATTTGCCAGCATTTTTCAGTCCCGAACCGTTTTCAGTATACATTCTAATTTTGTCGACTGTCATTATGACAACGGGCGCTGTCTACTTGTTCTTAAGGAAATACAGTTTGGACGTATACATGATGCATCTGGTGTTGATGTTAACTGCACAATATCGATACATCGCGATAAAACTGACATTATTATTTCAGAAACCACAAGACGACAATAAAAACTTTCAAAAAAAGTGTCATCCTATGACAGATCAATGGGCGGAAAAGGAACTAAGAGCGTTATGTCAGCATCAAAACAATGTTTTGTTGTATGTGTTTTTAATATAATTATTTAAAAAAATAGAATACAATTATTAAGTAATAAAAAAATAATTTTGAGAGAATGCTTTAATTATAGAGTTATAATTAAATGACAATGCTTTTAATAAAATACTACAAAAAATTATAAAAATTATAATATTAAAATTTTATTGCACATATTTCAATTTTTATAATAATCCTATAATTTTTTATAAATTTTAATATTTGATAAAATTTAATAAATTCATTGTTTTATGTCATTTATGTTTTGTTTTTATTTATTATGTAATATAATATTTGATAAATTCTATATATATATATTTTACATTCCGTTACAGCATATCAATTATGTTAAGGAAACTTCTGTCGGTGAACTTCAGTCTATTGTATCTTAATAGTGTTTTCCGCTTCTGCTTTTTAGGTATCTTAATGACCACAGTAGGTAACGAACATTGAATTCAGAAAAAAATAAAAAATAGAAATTAATTATTTAAAAAATTATGTTGTATTTAATAATAATTTTTATCTATTAACAAATCATGTTTTGTATTTGCTGTTTTTTTTTTTATTTCCTTTAAGAAATTAACATTTGTGTTGCATGAATATATAAAAAAAAGGACTATATATATATATAATCTGCTTTCTTATGATTTCTTTTTTAATTAAATTAAAATCAAAGAATTTATTTTTTATCTTATTATGTATTATTTTTAGATAAAAGTGTGATAAATAAAATAATAATATAATATAAATAATATAATATAAATAATAATATAATATAAATAATATAAATAAAATAATTTGCATTAGTAATTCAATTCTGAAATCAAAAAATATAAACAATTTATTTAAATTTATATATTCAAGAAATTTTTTAAGAGAATTGTATAATTCCCTTTTATTTCCAATTCTTTAACAAAATGTATTTATAAATTTTTAGATACCATCTTTAACATTCATGGAGGGAATCTCGATTCTTTCATTCGCAGCTGGTTCAATAATGCAATTCTTTCTGTTATGTTCTTCCGTCCAGACATTATCAGACGCGGTAAGATTTATATTATCACAATTATTTTTCCTTCATACAAGCAGTAATATTAATATCAAGGAGCAAGTTGTTAAATTTTATCCATATTTTACTATATTGCTAGAAATTTTTTTATTATATTTTTGTTTATTAAAAAAGTTAAAGTACGAAAATATGAATAATTAATTATCAATAAACAAAAAAGAGTTATTCGTGTGTAAGCGGGCATAACTTTGCTTATTTATGAAAATGATTATAAAATATAAATATTCATATATTTATAAATATATAAATAATAATAAATAATATAAATATATGAATAATTATAAATTTATAAAATTCATATATTTATAAATATTCATATATTTATAAAATATAAATATTGAAAAAAAAATTAAATAAAAAATAATATATACTAATAACTTTCTCTTTTTTTTACATATCACTTTTTGTATTAAATATATTTGTAACAGAGTACGGAAGTGACGGATAAAGCATTTAATGAAGGCTGGTATCAACTTAAATCATCGATACAACGTACATTCATATTACTAATATTGGCTAATAATTTGGAATGTAAAATTGCGGCAATTGATAAGTTCAATCTGTCTCTGCCCTCATTTATGGCGGTAAATTCTAATATACTTTATATAAAATTTGAAATTTCTTATATCACATTTTTTATGATAATATTTTAGATTATGAATCAATCATATTCAATCGCTCTTTTGTTTTTAAAAGCAAAATAAAAAAAGCATTGTGCACTTATAAATGTATTAGAGAGAATAGAGTAGAGAGAACAAATCAAAGACAAAAAAACAGTTAAGCAAAAATATTTCAAAAGAAATCTGTAAAGATAGATATATATGTTTTGCATGATAATTCAAGAAATATAAATATAATAAAAATGTTTTAAAATTGTTGTAAAATTGTTTTAAATATAATAATATAGTATTAAGTAATTTAATCTTTGTTTTTTATTAATCTTTTCTTTATTATTTTATAAATTGGAAATAAAAGATTATATCGGCATGTTTTTATGCCATAATATTTGTACTATTATTATTATTCTCTCCAATAAGAAAAGTATTAGTATATATGATTAAATATATTTTTATACTATTAAGAGTAAAATATATGAAAAAAATATAATATTCTGTACATATGGTAATGTTTTTCTATTAAAATCAACCATGAAGAAGAATAACAATTTGGTTAAATTTGATAGCTGTCTATGAAACTTTCAAATTATGATAGAGAATTTTACGGAATGCATTAAACAAATGATGCAAACAATAATAAAAATATTAAATATAAATAATAGTAATTGTAAAGAAATCTATATAAAAATCTATATGCTATCCAATAATCAGCGATCATTCATTAAGAATATTATTATAGTATGTACATATTATTACATGGCTGATCCAAATTAGCAAGTTTTAGAATCACAATCTATTTACAATCATTCTATTTAGAAATCTTTGTACTGACAATGAAAAATCTTATGAAATGTGTCGCTAGTGAGTACACATTTATGAAGAAGATATTTCAAGATATTTCATCCTGAATGTATATATAATAACTTCATAATTGACAATAACACACTATTGTTACGATAAAATTGCTGTATTTCATGAAAATAATTCTACCAACAAAACTCAATCTTCTAATATAATTCATCGAAACCATAAGTCATTCTAATATAATTCATCGAAAGCATAAGTCAAAAATATAAGTGTTTTATCGAAATTATAGTGGTTCAAAAAGTAAGCAGTAAATGTTGCTAATTTCGTAATTTGCTATTTAACTATTATTTATAGATCATTTATCAAAGAAAAAAAAACTTACTATAATGATTAATCGGTACTTAATAGATAGAATTCATTAATTGCTCCATAATTAAGCTTGTCACAAAACATTTTGTGAAAATTTGTCCGTGATAAATTTTTTGCAAATTAAATTATTTTTTAATTAACAATGCACGCGTCAGTCAAACATGTCAAATTGTTCTGCGACTTCTCTGAATTCTGGCAATTCTGCAATATTCGACAGAATGCCATAAGATAATTACTACTTCACAATATAAGATAGTAGTATAAGGAATTTAATCATCACATCTATATTTTTAGTAAATGAAGTGAAAGATGTATAGCACATTCAATGAATTATCATTTAGTACATCGCGACATTTAATTATAAACTACTACGTTTCCTTGTAATAAGACACAGAATCATTTAAAATTATTATCTATTCCTTGGAGAATATTTAAATTCTAAAATATCCACACACAGTGAGATTACAAATCGAGCGATGGAACAATACAAGAGAAATGTCATTGTTCGTCGTACGACTATAATATATTAATAATAGCCGGGCAGAAACAAAAGTTCAAGAAGAATGATAATTTCCTTACTGTATGTAGATGTAATTTTGAAATACCGATAGAGATATCATTTATTGTCACTCGCCCAAGAAGAAGCGTACGTGGAGACAGTGATTAATGCAACTACACAAATCTTGATTTTTTATATACATTAGATTTACTAAGGCAGTTCCAATTCATCGAATAGTACAGCATGAGAAGAATAAATTTTCAAAATGTGAATATTTTAAACAATCGTGCGAACATGCTCTCGGGGAATTTGTTTCTTGTAGCAGCCGATGGTTTGCGGTTTCCATTACCGTGGCGCATACATAGCGCCGTCTGGTTAATTCAGCTGATTTACACGATCGCGTTGCTCACTGGAATAATCGTGACACCAAAAGAAAAAGCCTTGAAAGACGGTACTGTTGCCGTTGTCGTCAGCATCGAATCGTGTTTTTTGCTCACGCGTATTTACGTAAACAAAAAATTAATGCTATCACTGATCCAAAAAATGGACGATCTCTTGCAAACTACGGATGACATTATGGAGGATATTGTGAAGACTACTCTGAAACCAATAATAATGCCGTTCGTAATTTATGGAGCAGCTGGTATAATATCTATTACTATATGGACGTCACAACCGATTTTATTGGCTTTCGAGAAGAGTACTTTTTTTTATGTAGATTATAACTTACCAGCCGCTTTTAGCCCCGAACCGTTCTCAATAGGTGTCCTGATTTTTTCAATTGTCTTTATGACAATTGCCAGTGTGTATAGCTTTTTGAAGAAATACAGCGTGGACATATACATGATACACCTGGTGTTGATGTTAACTGCACAATATCGATATATAGCGATAAAATTATCATTATTATTTCAAAATTCAAAAAATCGCAACGAATCTCGAAAAGGACATCATTCGATGACAGATCGATGGGCAAAAAAAGAGCTAAGAGCGTTATGTCGGCATCAAAATACTGTTTTACAGTACGTATAATAGAAAAAAACATTTTTAAGATACTTTATTTATAAAATCGGAATGGGATAATATTTATGCTTTTAAAATATTCGTAAAATGATAAATCGCAACATTATTTAATTTTATGTGATCTTGTGCATATTTTGTCATATTTCTAATGTCTAATATAGAGAATAATTTATTACTTTATGATTTACATTTTATATATATATTAATTTAATATTATATTAAATATTTTCTATATTTTATATATGCATTCCACGTTATGTTTCACCATATCATTTTTTATTAAGAAAACTTCTGTCTGTAAACTTCAGTCTATTATATATCAACAGCGTCTTTCGGTTTTGTTTTATAGGTATTCTAATGAGTTCAGTGAGTATCGATAACAAAACATTAAAACTCGAAGAAGAATAAAGAATAAAAATGCTTATAAAGAAAAGTGCTTTAAATATTTAGTAATAATTTTATATCTATATTAAATAATTATGCTTTGTATTAGATTCTATTTGGAAAATTAACATTTACTTTAATAAATAAAAAAACACAATTTTTATATTTTCTAATATTGTTTCATATTAAATTGCGACTGCAAATTTTATCTTTTATTTTTTTTTATTATGTACTTATGTAATAAAGTAACAGTACAAGTATTCATTGAAAATTTAATCTTTGAAATAAAAAGAACATGCATAAGTTTAATAATTTTTTAATTTTGCATAAATAGGAAATTTTGTTATTGAGAAAATGACGAATTGAAAAAATTGTTTCTGTATTCTTTTAAATTTAACTTTTCTACACAAAGTGACTTAGTTAACTTTTTAGTCTATATATGACATTCATCGGAGGGAAATTTCGGTCTTTAATCGTTTACAATGGGTTCAGTAAATGCAGTTCTTGTTTTGTTATTATCTTCCGTGCAAACATTAATCAAATGGCGGTAAGATGATTTATTTACATATTAAATTTTGTTTTTGTATAAGAATATTCTTAAATAAAAAATTAATCAGCAACATAAATTAATGTAATATTAATGTATAAAAATATTAGATATATGATACTAATTTAATGTATACAATGTAAATATTACTATGGTTAACTAAATATTAGAATGCAGTTTTTTGTTAATAGTATATCTTATTAAAAGAAAATTATTTAACCTAATTATAAGAGTATATCAAGTGAGCGGAATAAAGCATTCTGATGAATGCCTGGTATCAATGTGATCAATCAATGAAACGTACATTCCTATTACTGATAATGGCGTAACAATTTAGAATGCAAAAATTGCAGAGCAATTGATAATTGTCATTTGTCTCTGCCTTACTTTATGAGGTAAATTTTTAACATATAAGATGTGTATTATATAATATAGCATTTTATGAATTATTAGTATTTTAATTCTCTTATATTCTTGATATATTCTAGATTATGAATCAATCATATTCGATTGCTCTTCTATTTTAAGAGCAAATTGAAATAAAATACATCGCGGCTGGTAACAGAAAATAAGATAGAGAAATGGTTATCAAGATAAAAACTATAAGAAAAAATTATTTTAAAAAAGAATCTGTACAAATCCCGTTTGTAACAATGTGTTAGAGAATATAGGTGTAATAACATAATAGTCAAGAGTGGTTTAAAATTACTGATGAAATATTAAAAAGAAGAAAGAAATTTAACTTTTTTGTCTTCTATAACTTTTCTTTTTTTAATCCTTTTCTGTTAATTGGAAATAAATACTCACTTGGAGATAATTTGTTATGTATTGCAATATTTATAATACTATTTCTCTTCAGTGAAAAAAAATATAAGCATATGTTGTAATTCAAATATGTTGCATTGATTTATAATATTAACTTCATATATTCAATCATCGCATATTATTTGGCGAACGATATGTATTTTGCCAATTCCTTTATTTCTTTTTTGCTTTTGAAACACAAGTATATCTAAATTAATACTTTAATCTAAAGTTAAAATGATTGTGATAATATTAATTCTATCATATATTTGCAAATTCTTACTAAATAGAAATTAAAAATTATAAATATCTCAGAATGGATACTTGAAATAAAAAATATTAACTTTTAAAATTTTAAAACACAAAATTTCGTAGAAGTGGCATTGATAGAATTAAAATTTTATAAGAAATTCTAAAGTTATTTTTACCTATTCTACAGCACATGAGGTATAAGTCTTTTTGAAGATAGCTTTTACCATCTTTACTAGACTTTTCTCATATATAAAAAAGTAAAATCAACTTATGAAAATTTCAATTTGTAATATAAAAAAAAATTTATCGTTGATGAGTCCAAAATTACTATACTCACGTTTCTATGTCGCTAAAAATTTTTGTTATTCATTCTGACTTGTTTGCTATCTTAGTATAGAGTGTGTTTTATTAAAATATATTATCATTAAAAATTAAAAGCATCATTAAAGAATATTAACATTAAAAATATCATAGTTTGTGTCTTAATTTATCAATTAAATGAATTATCCTTATTAACAGCAATAGATATTAAAAGACAGTAATTAGAATATTGTATTAAAAAAAGGAAGAGATTTTTTTTAACCTTAAATATAGTCCTGCGATATCTACTATCAATCGTTATTTCGTAATATTTTGCTAACGTTATTCAACTCAATAATCGTGTAAAATATACAACTGGTTTCCAGCTATGGATTACAATGGACGCATGTACGCATGCATAAACCATATTAAAGCTTCCTCGCGATACTAGGAAGAGGACACAGTATATCTATAGAGATAATACCGCTTCGTGTGACAAGAGTTAGTTGCAAGAATTAGTGATTACAATCTATCTTCGTACCTAAAATACATTAAAAAATATAACTCTACCTTTCATTTAATCGTTCTGTACATTATCTTCCGAAGCACAATAATTGGAAGATCGAAAATTATAATTTAGAATAGAAGAAACTATCGGCTGTTTTTGTAGTGTAATATATATATATTAAAATAATGAATTTGTTTTTGCCTGTTTTCCTCTCAATCATCTCTGAAAATAAGAATTGTTGGATATGGTCATGATGCTTATTTTCAGCAATTTTGGAAATATAGAAATAAACAAGCCACGCTTTACTATCTACAAAAAAAGTAAACATTTGAGTGGCAAAATAGAATCAAAAGGCTTAATGTGAAACTAACTAACAAGCTTTTTTTACAAGCTTAGTTTGCCTATATAGATTTTCATTTCTTAAAAACAAGCGACAATCAAGAAAGAGGACTTCCAAAACGTGAAATGCTTCTAAATGTGTTTCGATGAACATGTTTCTCAGAATTTATATTTACCAATGAGCCAGCAATGATTTGTTGTTCCTAAAACATGGAGAATTATATAGCGTTGTTATATTAGCGTTAAATGTGAATTTGTTCTATATCAGCGCAATAATTCCGGATTTATTTTGGTATTAACATATGATCTCTATAGAAAACACTTGTGCAGGATGGCGTATCAATCAGTCCTTAGTGGTGATCATTGAGGTGATTGTGTTTTACTTATGCGGTATCACATATCCAGAGATTTAGTAATTCGATTATAATCCAAAAACTGGAAATGACATTTCTACACTTCGAGGATAGAACTATGAAGTTAGTACTTCGTTGCATTCGACCTTTTGAATCCACTGATAGATTCTCTCCCAATTTTACTGTGCTAAGGCGGAACTGATCCGTAGTAATGTGGTGTTGCCATTCCGCTTCAGCTACTGGATCTCAAAGAAGATCTTACTTTTTCTACAATGATTTTGCAACTGATAGCAGCCTTTTCGAAACAAGTCGTTTTCTACACAAATCTTCTTGCTTGGTGTTCGTTAATAGAATATTGCCAACACAGCGGGAATGCATATTTATTAAAAAAGTCGCTCTGGAATGTCTATTGATAATCTTTATATTATTAACACACGGCATAATCATCGATACAAGCGAAAAGCTCGCTAAAAATAATTTCGCAATGACACTTCACCGATTTAGCACATTAAATCTCAAAAAGAACTCTAATGCAATTTGTCGTCGGGAAGAAATGAAATATTATATTCAAATTATAAGCTGTGATTCAGTAAGTAATTAGAGTTTTTAACTTTTACAAGTTGATATTTTGTGCGTAACTTGTCTTGTGTCTAAATTTTGTAATTTATAAATTGTATTTTTTCAAATTAATTTTTTCTTTACATTCCCCAATACTTTAATTTGTTTAATTATCAAAATCTTTATAAATATTTATTATTTTCTTCCAGGAATTA